TACCAAATGGACTATCTGACGAGGTAAGATCCTCAAATGATCCGTTCTCTTACCTTGAAATCTACTTGGTTATACGTAGTTTTTGATGCTAATCCCGAATCTGATATTCATTTGAGCTGTTACACTTCCTACTATGAAGATTCGGTCTCTGGAGATATCTTAAAGTCTGAGATGGAGAGGCTCTGATCTGTCGATATGTACATCATGTCGAATTACCTATAGACTTGAATTGGCCATTTGTTTATATCTAAAGTTTTTTAATGTGTAGATTATCAGAACCTGTTCTGAATAATAGAATATGAACAAATTCACTTTCGCTTTCAAAAAGGTGTGTATGCTATACTGTTTATGATTTTGCAAGGATTTTAAATTAATAATAAATATGGTAGGTATCAGCTATGTTAACTCGCCGCACACTTAAGACAACATCTGTTAAGCATCCTGAACAGTGACGCTGTACATCCGAAGTGTATGTAGGAGTGTGTGGTAGACCGATAATCTATGATATAATCTCACAAGATAACATATAATAAACAGGCTACTGTGAAACAAAACTCAGTTTCACGTTAAGCCCTGGTTGTCTAAGCGTAGCTGGAAGTGAAAGGGTAGGTGTATCTATTCTTCATGACTACAATGCTTTCTAACAAGAACGTCAAATGAGAAAAACTATTTTGTCGTTTCCTCTTAGGTAAAATAAATAAACTATCTATATTATATATTAGATAAATGAATATGATGCATTGCATCATATGAACAACGCAGAAGTGGATATTTTAGTACTATTATTCAAGTTTCTCTTCTCTCCATGTAAAACTTTCATCATAAAAGCACTATAGGTCATATACTTGTTTTTCAATCAAATAAATTTGCACTTTCTCCCATACAAATTGAATTCATTATCGTTTGTCTTAAAAGTGTTGCTATTCTTGTGCCATTTTCAAACACTCTTATCTGGCAAGTGGTTTAATCAATGTTCTTCTTTCACTTCGGATGGTCTATTTATATTAGTTTACAACTTCTATTATGTCAGAAACGAAACACTCACTAGCAGTTTCTTCGTGTTTATATTGAAACGACACTTATTTGTTTCAAATATGCCATCATTATGCCCATTACTTGCATTCGCCTTATTTTCCATCGTCCTTCATCTTATAGCGGGTAAATCAGTATTATCTACTGAGATTGGCATGAAAAAACGACTGAAAAACACCGAGCATTTTGCGTTAATGGCTAACGATGACGATGATGATGATAATTTTGTTTACAATAAATCGCCTGATTATGAACAACAAACATTAAGAAGTCATTGGTTAGAACAGCTTTATAAATTTGTAATGCTTCATCAACAACTTCAAGAAAAACAAAAGTCAGGTATCGACCATCATTAAGATCCTGTTAAATAAAACCAGATTAACTTCAAATAAAATTCCATAATGTATTTTAAAGCAACGTTATTTTTCCAAAAAGAATTTTATTTTAATGTAACTTTATTAATAGCAAGCGTGAACATTAAGAATTTTGCATAATTTCAGCAGCTTGATTCTGTCTGTTTATTCATCAGAAATAAAACAACATAAACGTATCGAATGTATCAGTTTATCATCAGTATAAAATCAGATTACAAATCAATGTGAAAACGAAAATACCAGTTTCTACTTTGCTTTACAATATACGTATATGTTGCAGGAGAAATTAAAATCCAGTGGAATTTTAAATTCTCGTAGTAGAAATTAAAATTTTTATTTTTCTTAGTGAAAATTAAAATCAACATATTCACAAACACGAAAACTCAATCATCCGGCTTTAGAGCTCGAACTTTAGTTTTCTGAAAAGCGCAGGATATTTATGGACATCAGGTAAAGATTATAAACAATGACTACATGTCTAAAAAATGCAACTAGTAAGAAGAATTTGACCGTAAACGTTTTGTAACCTGCACTCGAACTTATAGCTTTATTTTGGTCGGATAGAGACTTTAGCATGAAAGTATATTCGTGTAAACATTCTGTTGGATTAGCAATTTTATTTAACTTGTATCAAGTTAGCGATAAAACACATATTCAACCATTATGCAAACGAAAAGTAAAAGAGCATCCCAAGAAAGTTAGCACAGCTTTAAAATTTTCAAATAGATATAAATAAAACTGTAAAAATATTGTTCATTTGGTTAAAATCTCAATGAATATGTTTGTGTTGTACAGTATACTTTGTTGAGAAATAAAAATGTGAGATACATGGTGAAAAAATTGATGATCAAAACTACATTTACTCAATAACTCGTCTATTCTAACTTAATGACGAGAAATATAGAAGTACTATTTATTCACATATAGAATTATCATTAGAATATATGAATAGAATTAAGAATAGAAAAAAAGTAAGTAATTTTGCATAGCAAACGGGCTTAATTCAGCAGAAACCCGGAGAGAGTCTTTTAGATTAATCGTACTGCATCTAGTAGAAAATGTGTGATGTTAACTAGACCACGTACACTGAATTTTGAAACTTTCTTCCAAAGCATACTATATGCAATTTAGATAAAAGTCTTACTCTTACCTGTAGGTAAATAAAAGCTTGTTGGGAATATTTAATGTATGTGTAATATACGTTCAGTGACTAACATATGCATTCATTGTACTATGTATCCCTTGGCCACAATTTTATGTGATGAAATAATAATCGCATTAGAATGAGTGCTCGTAGTGCATACTTGTCATTTATTATATTTCTAAGACTAGTGAATTAGATTTGTTCAAAGAACGAAAATATAAGGACTTTTTCTAATTTTTTCTATTTCTGTTCTATCATAATTGTCATTAAACAGAACACTTCTTTGACAGAATGCATGTGTCATATTACATTTTTTAATTATAGAGACTAATAACAATGAAAGTGAGAAAAAAGAAAGAAAATGACAAAAATTAATAGATTGTGGAAATGAGCAGACAGAAATAATAAAGTTTAAAAACGGGATCATTCAGTGGCAACGTATCGAAAACACGATTCGCCAACCGTCACTACTCACCTATCAAAAGCGGCCTGAATGAGTTGTTATAGCACCTCTATTATAGAAGTCCCTATGGGCTTCTATTTTGGCTAGCAACTCAAGTCGATTTTAGGCCAAAAAACCGTGAGTAGGAGGATCTCAAGAAAAAATGGTCAGGTGTGGTCTTTCAACAGGGTGTGGTCTTCTATCATGGGGTTAAAGGAAGTGATCTAAAATTTAAGCCCCTGTATATAAAAAGTCCTTTTTTTTATATAATTTTAACATGAAAAGTTAAATCTGACCCATTTGTGAAATGGGTCAGAAATGTTATGTGCGTTTACGAAGGGGCAGCGGTAGATTAACTGGAGTCCTACTGTATACTTTTTGTAAAAGAGTTCTTGTTGCGAAGAGGGAAGAAGGGGAAAATCAGGAGTAAAAAGGGAAAGAATATGCACAGTCTGAGGGTATCTTAACTGAAATGTATTTATTTCTTTTTAACCAATACAATTTATTAAAAGATTTTGGTATATTTTTTAGACATTTATCCACAGTGAGCTTAAGCGAAAGTTTATCTGTCCATGTAAACCCGCGATATTTAAATATAGAAACAATCTCGATTATATTTTCACCCATATAGACTACTATATTACGTTTCCGGACTTGTGAATAAAAAACCTGCACGACCGCCTTGAATACATTGATGAGCAGTTTCCACTTTTTAGAATAGCGCAAAAGCCGATTACATACTGACAAACAAATACAAAAAACTCAAAAACCTAGTGAAAACCTATATCAGGCGAAATCGCACTTGCATGGAAATTCGATTTTCGATTTTTTTCCATTACCTCGTAGACAAACTTATGCGCACGTTTTAGAAAAAAACAAAGTATTTTGAAGAAAACCTTTCGCTGGCACAGTTGTTCAGAATAATCCTCTCCATACGCTAAGTAGAGTACTTTTTCATTTTACTGGGAAAAGTTCGAAATAAATGCAGCTACATAGATTTTAAGTAAATTTAAAGGTCAAAAATTTATTATTTGTAATTTATTTCAAACTTTTCTCAATAAAATGAAAAAGTGCTCTACTTAGCATGTGGAGAGGATTATCCTGAACAACTTTGTCAGCGAAAAGTTTTCTTCAAAATGTTTCGTTGTTTTTAAAATGTGCGCATTCAAAAAATTACTTTAAGGACTCAAACTGCATTAGAATGAAAATTGTTAATTTTCTCGGACGCAGTTAGTTCAATTTTCATTATAACTTGGGAATACATGTCACTTAATGCGCTCTGTCAAATTGCCTAGAAATAAGAGTTTCAACTTTAGTTTTGAATTTTTTATAAATCTTTTAAAAAGAGGATCAAAATCGTATGAAATTCGTACAAATTTATTTACTCAGCTATTATAAATCTGTTCATCGAAAGCACTTTAGGATATATACAGCTTGATGCGTTCAACAGAGTTATGAAAAAAAACGAGGGTAGTTACCACCTCCTTAATTCACATTGAAAACTAAAATTTTTCTTAACATTTTATCAATAATGACAGATTATTCTAAAATGATGGAGGTATTTATGTACCTATTTTTGTCTTCAGCTATCATATAGTTCAAAGACTTCGCTCTTGCTTCAGAAGATAGAGAATTTTTCTGCTCTACAAGTCCTCTGTGTTATACAACGTTGTCTGATTAGTCGTTTGTCTAAATCTAACATTGATCAAAAGTGTTAATTTTTAACGGCATGGATTTAAGTGATCAGTAAAATAGATAGTATGATCAGTAAGATAAAATATTATAAATCAGTTAATTGAATGAATGATCAGTAAATATATTGAACTACTAGTAAACTATTTAAATGATCAGTTATTAAATAAACAGGGTCTTTAATAAATTTTCAGATCAGTAAATAAAATAGATTAACAGTCGGTTAAATGAAAGAGTAAGTGTAGAAATCGAAATGTGCTATAGTGTGATACACTTTTGCTTCGTTTTCTTTCTTTCTTTTCTCTACTATGACATACAGCTGACAAGTACGATATATGTATTCTTTTCTTCGATTCATCTCTCTTTCATTTTTCATGAAAATCTCAGTAATTCTTCGACGTGAAATTTCAAAAAACATTAAAGGAGGGTTGTCAAATTATCATTATACAGTATAACCATCAATCGCACCAGATATTCCAAAGTCTCACAATTTCAGATTCTCAGACTTTCATAGTTATACGTCTACACTATTTCAAAGTTTCAGAATGTTAGAATTTTAGCATTTCAGATTCTCATTGTTACTCTTATACACTATTTCAAAGTTTCTTCTGAAGCAAATTCTGAAATTCTAAAATTCTGAAACAGCGCATAAGTATAACGATGGAAATCTGAGAATCTGAAATTCTGAAATTGTGAGACTTTTGAATATTTGGTGCGATTGATGGTTATACTGTATAATGATAATTTGACAGCTCTGCATTAAAGTGATCGAATAGGATAAAGAAGCACATCATTCGACTCAATTTTTGACGCTGATTCGAAATATGATATTTATATTGCGTGAAAGTTAAGTTATGGTGGAGAAAATTGCGAATTAGTGTCAGATTTCTGATTTTTCGCAGCAGAGTCCACTTTTTTCAGCAACGAAAAGGAATTCTGAAAAACAGAGAACGTACTTTTACTCTGAGATGTGTGGACAAACTATCTAAAGACGAACTGACGAAGCGCAGTTTTCAAGCGTAAAAATACTGCCATAATTCGCATGTTATGCTTATTTTGAGAATTCGCGGACAATTGATGCGAACTGTATCGAATTCATACGGATACTCCTAAAGACTTTTACGAATTCATCTTACGAATTCGTAAGATGAATTCGTAAATATCGGAATAGATCAAACACAATGCTCATCAATTCGCAAATAATTCGTAAAATTAGTTTACGAATTCGTGTTCACTGCTTTTAGAACTATATTAATTCGTACCTACGAATTCACTAATTCGTATTACGAACTGATCCAACGATTGAAAATGGATACTTTCAATATCAATTTACCGTTATTCTTACGAAATCGTAAAATGCGAATTAATGTCAAGCACAAGAAGCATTTCTGTGAGGTTAATAGATAGGTTCGTCTCTTCACACCGCTCCGCAAACTGACTGAACTACAACGAAAACCGTTTGGCTTCTTGTCTAGATACTCACAGCCATCCTCACTGCCCCCCCCCTCCCGCGGCGCATGCACACAAAACGGAGAGAGATTCCACTCTATTTTCCTCTAAGCCAAGAGACGATTCTTTGTTTTCTTAACCTCATAGAGAAATTTCTTGTCCTTGACATCAATTCGTATTTTACGAATTCGTAAGAATAACGGCGAATTGAGGTGGGAAGTATTGAATTTATGAATTCGTCGGATATGCTTTGGC